TGTTTTTTTTTTGTAACTGAAATATATTTTCCGTTTTCCCTTTTTCTTCAAAATTGGCTTAGAAATACAGAAATGTGTGTGTGTGTGTGTGGTGTGTGTGTGTGTGTGTGTGTGTGTGTGTGTGTGTGTGTGTGTTGTGTGTGTGTGTGTGTGTGTGGTGTGTTGTGTGCGTGTGTGCGTGTGCTGCGCGTGTGTGTGCGTGTCTTCGTGATCCCGGATGGATTAAGTGCGAATATTACCGTCCTGATATGTTTTATCCACACCCATCCCTTACTACGAAACGCCAATCATAACAGCAATCATCGAATGAAAATAAATGAATGAATCGATAAACAAACGAATAAATAAATAAACAAAAAATAACCTCGAGACCAAGAATACAATTAACAATAAAAAATAACTGCACCTAAATCAAAAACTTCAAAAATTCGTTCAAAGGAAAACAGACAACGAATCACGTGAGGACATGTTCGTTAACGTGATAACATCGACCGTAGAAAATGGTAACCTGATAAGAAAAAAAAATATTTACGAAATGTGGTGGAACCGATTCGGTTAAATCTTGTTCTTCTGATTATATTTTAAATTATTTTAGTATAGCCATTATCATTTCGGCCATTTATTATTCAGATTTATTTTTCCCTTTGTTTTTGTCTTTCCGATGAGCGTTAGCGAGACAGGGAGGAAAGGGTATAGATAGAGATGGAGAGAGATGGAGAGAGAGAGAGAGAGAGAGAGAGAGGAGAGAGAGAGAGAGAGAGAGAAGAGAGAGAGAGAGAGAGGAGAGAGAGAAAGAGAGAGAGAGAGAGAGAGAGAGAGAGAGAGAGACACAGAGAGAAAGCGAGACAGACAGACAATGAGAGAGGGGGTGAGACCGACAGACCGACAGAGAACCAGAATGCCTACGAAAAGAGGAGTGAGGAAGCTCCCAAGCCGACCACCACAAGGAAAGCTCCACCGGTTTCTCCACCGAGCCACCCCGCCAACGCCGGCGCCGAATCCACGCCATCTCCACCCCGCACGCCCCACGCCTCGCCATCACCCGGGAGTTCGCTTTCGTTAAATGTCGCAGAACTCTTATCAACGAACGCTCCTCAAACGGCCTTTATCTGGGACAGCGATGAGTAATAAGTCTAGAAGCAGGCGGGTTTCTTCCCACACAAACCCTATAAACGGACGAATACAAACAGCACGAGACGACCACAACAACAATAACAACAACAGCACGAGGCGACCACAACAACAACAACAACAGTCTTCTATTCATACTTGTTTATGTAAACTGTGTGTTTGTCTTTGTCCGTTTATTTGTCTGTTATCCTGTTCATCTATCTACCAATCATACGCACACGTGAACGCAGATGTAAACATAAACAAACACACACACGTGTACAAACCTGCGCCATCCTGCTAGACAGATATCTATAGGGAAAGACAGACAAACAAAGACAATTTGTTTGTCCTATCAATAAAACACAATCCTATTCGCAAAGAGAGGAAGTGGAGAAAGGAGAATAAGTAGAACAGGTAGGCAAATAAGGCGCAAATGTACAACGACGCAGATAAACATACTTGAGGGACCGTTAATGTAAAGCCACAGTTCAGTTACGTAATTATGAATACAAATGACAAATATGTAAAAAAAAATATATATACATATATTTTAATGTACGGTGCATAGACGCATAGAATCTAAAGGATTAGGGTAGTTACCTAGAGAATGGAGAAGTACCGAGAAGGCGCCCACGCAAATGCAGAGAAGTAGATGAAAAGTAGACAATGGCATATTACGAATGCGGAATAAGATGATAGACACTAGATGATAAAATTCATGAAAAGGGAGAAGGCGAGGGAGTGGTGCGAATATGAGTCGCTGAGTTTGTGAATCACCAATCATTTTACTCATAAATGATCTTGTACTTGGATTGGGATGATAAAGTTAATCATTCTTTGTGGTTTCCTTTATTAAACGGCCACAGATCAGCCTCTAACAGAATGTGTATATATAACTTCGTAGACAGTCTTAAGGATTTGCTTCTTTTATAATCATTAGCATTACAGTCATTGTCATATCATCTTCATGATTATATTGGTCATCACTATCACTGTCATTACTGACCTTATAATTCTGTAAATCATTATCCTGCACATAAAGCAATACAGATGACATACATATCACTAGAATCTATAACATACAAATAGGAAAATGACAACGGAAGGAAACGTTATGATTAGTAATGACCAAACATTTACGTGAAGTGGCTAACGAAACAAACATCACGGCGACGACGCGACGGCTGCTGTCGCGCCGCGGTTGGCCAAAAGGGATCAGGAATTTCCGCGCGCTGCATTTCTTGGGAGCTTTTGCAATGTCATGTCTCGTCATGGCGACCTGTTTCGGCGCATTTCTCAGGCAAACGTTTGACCTCACGTTCCTGCAGCTCGCGCGAGGCTTGCGTTACATGTACAGCGTAATGTAGTGGGAGGGGAGGGTACTCACACCAGGGTCCGGGCGCGAGTGGAAGGCGACGCTGACGAGGAGGGTGCGACGAGGACCCGTTGCTGTCGTCGAGGGAGCGCCCGTAGCCGGACTCGCGGGTCGTGCTGCGCGAGTCCGTCCGGCCCTCCGCGCCGGGGATCTGGACGCCGTCCACGCGGTCGCCGCCGTCGCCCAGGTCCACGTCGCTGAAGACGCCGTTGTCGACCGTCCAGTGGCCGCTGTCGCCCGCCTGCGGCTCCTTCGTGACGGGCTGCTCGTGGAACCGCAGCATGGGCCGCCATCCTCCGCCGCCCGCCGCCGAGGGAGAGTCGCGTCCCCGGCCAAGACATTGGCGGTGAAGCTGTCATCGTCGAGGCCCGGGTTGCTGATCCCCAAGTCGTGTTCGATGACGTGGTCGTCGAGGGCGAGGTTGGAGGAGGTGATGGAGATGTTGGAGGCGTTGGAGGACTCGGCCAGCGGCTGCGTCGTCGTCGAGAGGAGCAGGGCGAGAGGAGAGCATCCTTGATGCACACAGAGCCTTCCACACGGGGTCGCAAGGGCTGGACATGGCGTGCGGGTGGGTGCGGGTGCAGGGAGAAGCTCGTCTAGTCACGAAATGGGTCAGAGTTCAAAGGTCATCTGAGCGGGAGAGAAGATGGTGACATGACGGACCCAGCCAAGACCTAGGTTCTCGAGTGATATCTCTCTATCAGGCTTTTTATTCGTTTCTTAGTCTCTCAGAGGGATTTCGGCAACCAATTCAGTCCACAAGTGTCTCACTCGCCTCTGATGAGAACTGTCTACGGAAGAACTACCAAAGAGGAGACACAACACCCAATGTCACTGAACCGAGAACTTCCAGAGAGCGAAAGAACAAAGGGAAGTGTCGAGAGTTCCGTCCTGAATGTCTTTCCCTTGGCACTGCTCGACTGGCACTAGTCGGCTTACCCTGAACGAGGACAGTGCCACGGAAAGCCCGCACAGCCTGAAAGATAAGAGGCACTGGGGGTGGGGGGACAGAGATAGGGGGTGGACTGGAGGGAGAGGGAGAAGGGGGGGTGAGAGGGAGAAGGAGGGGGAGAGGGGGAGAGAAGTGACTGGGTGCCTCGCTTGCCCGTTCGTCCAGGGGCACCAGGCGGGGGATAACACGGCGGGGCCCAGCGCTGTAAACACGACCGCAACAACAGATTAGTTTACACACCAGGTTACTGCACTGCCTGCATACCTGGTGGCCCTTCTTCGTGTTATCTTGCGACCTGAGGAACAAGAGAAGTTCTTTAAAGCATCGGTTATCACATATCTATCCATTTTTCGAGAAAGAAAAATCATATCATTGGGATTTCTGTATTTACTCAACCATGTGCCCATACTTGACATAGAGCGTGACGTCACCAGAACCAGTGCCAGCCCGTGACAGGAAGGTTTTAGTTACACAAGGAATGTAACACCACGGCCGCCGCTCCTCGCTGAGAAACTCTACGGGCTGTTCACGCCTCGGTTCCGGGAAGGAGAAGGTCATGGGACTTAGAGAAAATTTACTCGATTATTATTTCTCTTAATATCTCTTTCTCTTAAATTGGTAACAACAATGACGACGTATATGAGGTTGAATGGTAATAACATTACTAATAGCAACAGTAAATGAATAAGAATAACAGTAATAATAATTGTTGATATGACAATGATAAACAAGATGATACTAACAATGATGATGATGATAATGATCATAATAATGATGATAATAACAGTTGCAATGATAATCATAGCAAACATAATAAACATAATAATGATAATTTTGATAATAACTAATAATTATGATAATAACAATGATAATAATAATAATAACAATGATGATGATAATGAGAATATTAGTAATCATGATAGCAGCAATGATAAGGAGGATAATAATGATAATAATGATAGCAACAATACTGAGGATAATAACAATAATAGTAATAATAATAATGATAATAATTCAATAAGTAATGATAACAGTAATGATATTCCTAATATTAGCAATAATAGTATTTATGAAAACAATAATAATTGCAACAGTAACAGAAATGCAAAAACAATAATAATGACAATAACAACAACAATAATGATTACAACAGGAATTTTGATAATAAAAATAATGATAAGAATAATCATAATTCTGATAATAACAATGATGGTGACAACAATAGTAACGATAATAAAAACTACGGTTATAATGATAACCGTAATGATAATATCAGTAATGATTTAGTTATAACCGTTACAATAATAACGATAACAATGATAATCAATAATGATAATATAATGAAAATAATATATAATAATAATAATATAATAATAATAATAATAATAATAATAATATAATAATAATATAATAATAATAATAATAACAATATAATCAATAGGATAATAATAATAATAATAATAATATAATATAATAATATAACAATGATAATAACAATAATAATAATAAAATAATATAATAATAATAATAATGATAATAATAATAATAATAATAATAATAATAATAATAATAATAATAATAATAATGACAATAACAATAGCAATAATGATAATGGCAATGATACTAATGATGATAGTAATAATATCATTGATAATAAGGATTATTATGCTAATAATGATTATCATGATAATAGAATTGTTAATAATGATGATGATAACCATCATTATAATGATAATAATTATGATAAAATGATAATAATGGTGTTACTGATAATAACATTAGTAATGATAATGATGATAATGATAATAACAATAATGATGATAGTAATGATAATAATAACAATGAAGAAAATGTAAGATAATGTAATAAAAATAATAATGTAATAATGGTAAATACTACTATAATAATGATGCACCATTAGTGATAAGCACAACACTACTAATAATGATGATGATAACAATAATGATAATAACAATGATGATAATGACACTGATAACAATAAAAAAGATGATAATGATAATGATTATAATGATAGCAATAAGATTATATCATTAATATAGATATATCATGGTACTCCTACTACTACTTTTATTACTACAAAATAATAAAAATAATAATCATGATAATGATAATTGCAATAATAACAATAATAAAAACGATAGCAATAATGATGTTAATAATAATGATAATTATAATGATAATGATAACAATATCATTTATGATGATAATAATGATAACAATCATAACTACATTAATAGTAATGATAATAATGATAATAATAATATTACTATCCATGACAATATAATAAAGTAATTATAAGGATGATAATAATTTTGGTGATAAAAACAATAATGATATTTATTAGAGAAATTATAATAATCATGATAATGATAATAATGATAATGTTAATACTGATGATAATAATAACAATAACAATGATAATAATAATAATATTAATATAACAATAATGATGATGATGATGATAATAATAATAATTATAATAATATTAATAATAATAATATGATATAATGATAACAACAACAACAATAATAATAGCAATAATGTTAATAATAACAATAATGTCATAATAATAACAATAATAATAAAGATAAATAATAAACAATGGTTATTATAATCATCATAAAAGTTATAATAGTAAGATTATAATGGTCTGATAATGATGATAATAATGATAACAATACTGATAACAATAATTTGATAATAACAATAAGGATAATGATAATAATGATGATAATCGACAATAACAATGACAAGAAGGATGATGATGATAGTGATAATAATAATAGTAGTAGTAATAGTAATAATAATGATAATGATAATGATCACATTAACAGTAATAATGATAATAATAATGATAATGATAACTATAATGATAATGATATTATAATGACAATGATAATGATATTGATAATAGACAATAATGATAGTAATGACATAATAATAATGACAGTAATAATAATGACAATAATAATGATAGTAACAAAAATAATGATAATGTTAAGGGTAATATCAGTGTTAATGATAATGAACGACATTTATGATAATGATGATAAGAGTAAGGATGATATTGTGATATTAACGATGCTAACGCTAATGACAACAATAATAATAAAAGACTGACAGGCAGACAAAAAATGATGCCTCGAATAGCCAGTTAAACCGACAAAGATTAAAAGAAGAAGAGATCAGGGCCGATGTGTCTGATGTAGTAATAGGCCCACTGATATCGATAACACTAAAATAGGCCTATCGAATGACCTTGGTCCGCCTGCACGTAGCACAGGTCACCTCGTCCACAAGGCTGGTTCTGTTTACAAGCACGTGTTACTTGTGTGGATTTTTTTTTTTTTGTTGTTCTTTGACCAGCTGTTATCGTGTGTGTTGCTGTTATTGTTGATGCTGTTATTACTAATGGTTGTTATTCGTTATTATCATTGCCATCATCATTATTATTATTACCATGGTCATCTGCATCATCATTATCATCATTATTACCATGATCTTCATCATCATTATCATCATCATTATTATTACCATTATCATCTTCATCATTATTATTAGGACAGTCGTAGTAACAGTACAAACCACTATCATCACAATTATCATTATCATCATTGTTGTTATCGCCATCATTTTTATTACTATTATTACTAATCATTATCATAATTGTTATTAACATCATCATTATTACTACTACCATTATACTATCATTATTATCACTGCTATTATACCATCATTATTCCTGTTTTCTTACTATCATTATTATCATTGCTATTAACATCATCATTAGTATCACAACCCCCTTCGTTCTCACTATCACAACCATGACAATAAACCATTAGCATTGTTATCATCATTAATTTTCCCTCTCATCAGATTCATATCACCCTATTGACAGATGTATACAATTAATCAGTTTCTAAAGCGATCATTTCTAAATTTACCTTATCGCATCATCGTGACAGGCATTTTTTTATTGATTAATCAGTCTTATACCGAACATGTGATCGACCTGCGACGGCCACCAAGATGGCGGGTCCGAGGTCTGTTGTGGTCGGAGAGAGAGATCAATGAGAAGGAAATTAACATGAAATGGCAGAGGAATGGGGAAAGGGGAAAGAGGGGGAAGATAGGAGAGAGAGAGGGGGGGGGAGAAAGAGAGAGAGAGGGAGATATAGAGAGCGAAGAGGTGTAGTTAGGGAAAGGAAGAAGGGAAGAGGGAGAAAAAATGAGGAAGAGAGGATATATATATATAATATAAATATATATATATATATATATATATATATATATATAGAGAGATAGAGAGAGAGAGAGAGAGAGAGAGAGAGGAGAGAGAGAGAGAGAGAGAGAGAGAGAGAGAGAAGAGAAAGAGAGAGAGAAAGAGAGAGAGAGAGAGAGAGAGAGAGAGAGAGAGAGAGAGAGAGAGAGAGAGAGAGAGAGAGAGAGAGAGAGAGATGAGAAAGAGAGAAGAGAGAAAGAGAGAGAGAGAGA